TCTCTAAAGGAGACACTTAGGCAGCCAACAAACATATGAAGAAATGATCATGAATGTTAGTCATTAGAGAGATAAAAATTAAAACAATGAGAAATCATCTCACCCCAGCATTAACAGCAAAGTTCAAAAAAACAGAGAACAACAAATGTTGGCGAGGGTGTGGAGAGACTGGGACCCTCCAACACTGCTGGTGGGACTTTAAAATGGTGCAACCACTGTGGAAAACAGTGCGGTGCTTCCTCAAAAAGTTGGAAATATAAATACTGTATGACCCAATCACCCCTCTACTTGGTATATATCCCCATGAAATGAAAGCCGTGATACCAACAGATATACACACACCCATGTTCAATGCAACACTATTCACAATAACAAAAAGATGGAGCCAGCCTAAATGCTCATCAAAAGAATGATTTCACAAACTTTGATACATACACACAATGGAATACTATGCAACACTGAATAATAATGATGCATAAGTGAAACATCTCATAACTTGGATGAACCTGGAGGACATTATACTGAGTGAAATTAGTCAATCACAAAAGGACAAATATTTTTTGAAACTACGGTTGTAAAAGGTTTTATAGTTAAAAGAAATAGTCTATGATGGTTATCAGGGTGGATTTTTGTTGTTGTCAAGTGTTGCTGAGTCAACTCCAACTCACAGCGACCCCGTACAGGGTTTTTAAATCTTGGCTGGAGCAGAAAGTCTCACCTTTCTCCCACAGATTGCCAAGCAGGCTTGAATAGTGGACCTTGTGTTTTGCAGTCCAGTGCTTATCATATGGAGTCACCAAGCTCATCAGTAGTGGGAGAGAAGGTAAAATTATTCCCTGGGGAGACGGTGTTATTGTTAAGTGCTGTCTCATAGTTGGTTCCAACTCATAGTGACCCAGTATAGGGTTTCCAAGGAGCAGCTGGTGGATCTGAACTGCTGACATTGTGGTTCACAGTCCAGTGCTAATCCTACAGAGCTACACCAGGAGTCTGGGTAGAGTGTAGGCACATGTTAACTTAGGTGATGAGGATGGCAATATACCACACTCACAGGGAAGATGAAGATAGTAGAAGACACACCAAGTGAGGAGTGCCAGAGTTCAGTGATCAGAAGTAAATCCTGCTAACCAATGGTACATAGAGGGGACTGCAATCATCGTAATGAGACGAAGCATATGATTGTTGAATGTGGGACTGACGAGCTGCTCTGTAAACCTTCTCTCAATCCACAATAAAAAGTTTTTAAAAAATTTTAAAACCCACATGGTCCTCTCAGAAGGACAGTAAATCAATCAGTACAATGAAGTGGGGTCAAAAACCAAAAAAATAGCCTCCATTGCAAGTCACAAAACAGAGCTGATAATTGTTCATGCATATCTTCTACTGACTATTTTCAGAATCACAAGTGTTCTTGTCCTTTGAAGAGTGATCTGAGATGACAACAGTAACAAAACAACACCAACAAAAGATGAGGTTTCTGATTAGCTTTACTGGGGAAGCATTCTGGACAATGTCCACTCACTGGATCTTCATGAAACTCTGGGAGGCGGACAGAGCTGGCATTGGTCTACTGATTTTAAATATGAGGAAACAGGAAGTGAATTTAAGAGCATGATTTTAAGATTTCTGATGTCTCATCTCACCAAAAAAAAAGTATTAATAATTAGAGAAGATGAGCCTAAAGTACAGGCCTAAAAACAAAGATGATGCGGTACAGTGAATTCACATTGCAACCCAAGGTATGTCAGAGTGGAACTGTGCTCTGGTGGATATTCACTGGCAGATCGTTTTGTACGTAGGTTACTAGATATCTCTGCATGGACTCAAACCTCCAATCTTTCAGTTAGCACATTAACTTTTTGGACCACCCAGGGACTCCATAGGCCCTAACAGCAAAAAAAGGTTCCAAATGGACTTGACAGGCTGAAACTAATTGAATGACTTTTACATGGATACAATTAACCCTGGATTGTATTCAGCTCTGCATGGTGATTATGAGGGGGATGGGGTTCCTCAGGGTAATTCTAGAAAAACAAGAAAAGAAATTGCTGTAAAGCTATCACTCTCCAGTGACTGGTGCCAACAAGAACTCCCATTCATTCCCTTTAGCTCAACTGGTATTTGCTGAATCTCTACTGGGTGCCTGGCCAGTGCTAAGCCCTGGGGATTCCCAATGGAAAAGACTGGGTTTCTGCCGTGGAGCAACATGACAACTAGCAGGTCAGACTGGGCACAAGACAGGGAATTCACTCTAGCGCAGGAAGTCCCCAGTGGGGGAGAGCTGCAGACACACATTCCGAGTCTCACAGGAGGAAATGATGCCAACTGAGGAGTCCTGGTGTGGTGCTATAGGATAAGCACTGGACTGCTAACTGCAAAGTCAGTGGTTCAAACCCACCAGCCACTCAGAAACCCTATACTGGGTTACTGTAAATCAGAACTGACTCAACTGAACCTAACAACAACTTCAGGCCTTAAAGGAAGTTGGCCTGGTATAGCATGGTAATTGATAAGCACTGGGAATCCAAACCCTCCACTCACTCCTCAGAAACCCGATATTGGGATGCTATGCCTTGGAAGCTACTCGATGGCACTTAACCAGGTCTCAAAGGACAGAATCCTGGTGGTGCTGTACCATGAGACAGCTAACCTGAAGGTCAGCAGTTTAAACCCACCAGCCATTCCTCAGGACAAAGATGAGGTTTTCTGCTCTGGTAAAGATTTACAGATTCTGCAAAGATCACATGGGGGCCATATCTGACTTCCTCTGACTTAACAAGGGGAAAAGAGACTCAAAGTCAAAATCAGCCGAAGGCAGATTCCTATGAAGTGGAGGTCAGATAGGCTACAACCTTCTTTACCCTATTCTGGTACCAACCATTCCTCCCAAAGAACTCTGCTTCACACCTGGGTTTGATAATCCATTGCAATGACCACACAGGACTCGTAACAATATTCATGGTCATGAGGTTTACTAAGGAAGCACACAGGGTACAATTCAGGCTCAAAACCAACTCAGTGTGGTGCAGTTCTTCAGTCAGGAATGCCTCGCCTGCCATACTGCAGCTCAAGCAAGTGTTACAAAGTTCTTTTAGCCAGTCTGTGAATACCCAAATGGCACATTCTTCAAGCCAGTTACCTGCCTGCAGGCACTCAGTTCATAGGTCTAGAGCCCGATGCTGCTGTCTCTTGCCTTTGCTGTTGCTGTTTCTCTAGGTAGCGACCTTGTGAATCACTCAAGCTCTTCCTTCTTGATGGTCCTGGGATCTTCTGTCTCTGCTTCTAAGTTGGTTCCTTTTAAGCCTTGCTGGATGGCAAAACTAACCACTCCCAGCCTTAGAGTCCTGTATACCTTATTTGCATGGTCCCACCCAATCACTTGGAGTCCTGGTGTGGGGCTGTGGGTTAATGTGCTACACCACAGAGTCAGTTTCAACTGCAAGGTTAGCAGTTCAAGGTCACCAAGCCGCTAACTGGAAACCTTACACAGGGTCACTATGGTTCGTAACCTCCTCAGAGGCACTCAACAACAAAAACTCAATCACTTGATGAGAATTAAGAAGATTTTAGATAGGAAAGCCATTATCAAGTAATTTAAGGCATCACAGATTCAAAAACATTATAGAAGGTCACTATGAGTTAGAAATCAACTCGATGGCAGTGGGGTTTGGGAAGACCTTAAAGAAATCAGTAAGCAAATAAAAGGGGAGTGGGAGGGAAGGGAGGTTATTTTCCATGTATCCTGTGGTGAGCACAGGAGGATTTGGTGTCAGCGTTAAAAGGCCCCACTGTGATTCAGAAACGTCTATTATGGTTTATACACCAGTTTCTTTTAAGTTTGGTTAGCACACATCAGTTCCTCAAAACATGATCATCGCTGAGTGAACTAATAGTGAGTTCAAGCTTTGCAACACACAAAGCTGAGCACTTGGGCTAATGGTGGAATCATCGATCTGTCAACACTCCTGATACACTACAGGTGCTCAGTGGATCTTTTATTTACAACCAAACTGAAGGAAGAGACTTGTCTGTGGTCATCTACTAAGTGGCAGAACAGGCTTGACGGCACCAACTACGGGCACCTCCTTTGTACACCTATACCAGAGGGCAGACAACGTAAGCAGTCTGCACAGAGACAGATCTACTCGAAACCACGGATGATGATTCAGAGTTAGGAGCCCATTCCTCGGAAAGCGAAGTGTGGAAAGCAAAGTCTGAGGGCAGTGGAAGTTCTGTGGTAGAACTTTCACTTTCTGTGGAAGAGACCCTGGCTTAATTCCTGGCCAGTGCACCTCACCCTTAGTCACAACCCTTCTGTCTGTGTAAGTCTGCTGCTACAATGTTGTGCAGATTTCAGCAGAACTTCCCGACTAAAACAGAGTAGGAAGAAAGGCCTGGTGATCTATGTTTAAAAATTGGCCAGTGCAAACCTTAAGTTTCACAACACTCCAACTCACCACCGATCATGGGGACAACGTAGGACTAGCTAGTGTCTAGGTCTGGCATGCCTTGGGGTGGCCACAAGTCGGGGGGCTGACTTCATGGCAGCTGTCTACCACAGAGATTATTGAAGACAGATTTCTGGAGAGAGTCTGGCTAAAGATTGCATGGGCAGACAGGGAGTTCTTTCCACTGATCTCCCAAAGGTGCTCCCCTCTTACTGAACTCAGTTTTAAAAGGCACAAAGACCTGGAGAAGTGTCACCAAATGGTGCTGACAACAGGGAAATTCCAGCTCCGCAGGGCATTGTACTTAGGAAAAGGGGTCACAGGCAAGCAATGCTGATGGGGCTCAGAACAAACGCCAGTGCTGCCTAGGCATGTATTGTTTGGCAAGAAGGCGTGGGCCCCTCTCAGAAGGAATGTCTAGAAGTCAGAGACATTCTCTGAGCCAGCTACTCAACTCTCCTTCACACTACCAGCATAGGGGCAAGCAAGCTCAAAGAAGCATAATTTTTTTGCCTGCATAAATCAGACAGCAAGCGGTAAGCCTGAACTTACCTGTCCCCTGAGGTGTCCGGGGATCTCAGCCTGTGAAAGGGGACCCAGTACCATCCTCCTCTGCTCAAAACCCGAATGAAGGACAGTGGCATAAGGGTTGCATTATGCGGGGAGACATGAAGACAGCAAACACAACCTGGCCAGCCAGAAATAACAGGCCCATGAAGGGAATGGTCTTAAAACAGCTCAGAAATTCCAAGAGCGGTTTGTCTCCAGACTGTCCAGGTTCTAAGTCCTTTTGAGGGGATACAGCTTCATCCCATAGTCATGAGCTGCCGTGTCCCAGCTCTCCCAGTCCCCCGTGCCCATGTGCTGGGTCTTCAGGTGGGTTTTCTAAGACAGCACTGACCAGAGAGCAGGAATCCACCCCTATCTGTGTTGTCCAATGTGCTAGCCACAGGACACGTGTTCCTACTATGCTGTTGGAATGTGACTAGTGTTACTGACAACCTGCATTTGTCATCTTATCCAACTGATTTAAAATCCATTCTGGTAAGCCACATGTGGCTTGCAACTGCCGTACTGGATGGGGCAGCTCCAGGAGAGTAGGGTGTAGTGCATCTGGCTTCTCTGCCTGGAACCCACCAGCACAGTTCCCAACCACTGTTCTTCCAAGGATGCAACAGAGTCTTCTGAGCCCAGACTTCTAATGCTAGCTTTCTGGGCAGCCATCATGAACCACACGTTTCATCTCATACTCCCTGACTTCAAGGAGCTTATGATACGGTTGTTAGACTGACTCATGACCACCCCACATGTGCAGAGGAGAACTACTCCAGAGAGTCTTCAAGACTGTGGCCTTTCAGAAGCTGATGGCTGGGCTTTATTTCTGAGGTACTCTGGGCGGATCTGAACCGCCACCCTACAGACATATGTGCCACCCAGGGTTCTGTGATATGACTACGAAAAAGTATGTTACAATAAAACCTTTCCTATATGAACTCAAAGACCACTACTACTCACAGCCTCCTCCCTTTCCTGTTTTCCAAGGCACTTCATTCGCCAGGATGACTCCCCATGCCACCCTAGCCATGGCTCCTCTCTTTCCACTTGTCTCATGATGAGGAACCTGAGGCTTGGAGGTTAAGTCACTTGCCCAAGGTCACATGTTATTTACCAAGTGGCAGGAATCCAAGCCTGTGAACTCAGAATATGTTCACTGACCTATTCACCTACTGTTAAGTGTCATCATCAGCTTCAACTCACAGTGACTCTAGTACAGGGTTTCTCAGGTTATAAATTTACTTATTTATTTTTTGAGTGACAGTTTACATGGGAAAACATCGGGTTGGCACTCTTCCTATTGTATTTCATTTCATTGCAATGATTACAATCCCCTCCAGGCATCATCATGCAACAGTATTTGCTTCTATCACCTCTGTTTGTTTGTTTTTGTGTGTGTGTGTACTTGGAATGCACACAGAAATACTCAAGAATATACAATCATTTAAACAACCCAAGGACACATTCTGCAAGCCTACCTCCTGGCCACCAGCACACAGCCCTCCTCTTTCCATGAGTCTGGAGTCCTCAGCTGCTCTATCTCTCCAAGTCATCATCTCTGCCTCCATCTCTGGTGTGGCTGCTTCTCTGGATAGGGTCCCACATTCCACTCATGCTCTTCTCCCTTGACTGTCCTAAGGTCCTCTGTTCCTGGAATGTAAGATTAACTACTCCCCTCTCACCCTTTATGTTACCAAATTTCTACTTTTACAGTTATGATGGTTGCAATTAGTCATGATAACAATTACTCACTATTGAATCATAAGAATCTTATCCCCATCCCCTTTCACCAGACCCATCCAGACAACATGAAAACAATTCAGTGGGGATTCTACCTTCCCCCACACACTCTGAAACTAAACTCACTCTTGAAAACTTGTAAGCCAGCCACTTTGTGCCTTTATAGCCACCCCTCCCCCATTTTAAGTAGCCAATGTCTAAGTTGCCCGTCCCTAGCAACCCTGTGTACAGAGGGGATAGGATTGATCCTTGATGTGAAGACTCCTTCCGTCTCGGTTGGTACTTTGAGTTTCTACATCCATAAGTATAGGTCAAGTTCATCAAATTGTAGCAATTTACACTTGTTTCCTTTATCAAATTTCTTTATCTTCCTCTAGTTGTGTTCTGATCATCAAACCAACGAAGATAGGTCAAATGGGTACTATCTGTAAGTTTGGGTGTTCTTGTGTCTCCCCTCACTTCATTTCAGCTGGACGCTTCACTCTCAGCTCTAGCCCTGTGTGGCTAGGTCCTTGTCCATGGGCTCAGGAGTTCCCAGGTCTCACCACACTTGGTACCAACCAGCCCTTCCTCTTCTCTTTCTCATCTCTAGGACAACGGGAGTCACTGGACCATGGTTGAACTCAGTCCATTTCTTCATTGCCACCTTTCCCCTTCTTCCACTCACCAGTAGACCAATGTGGTCACCAGCAAGCTTACATGCCTGCTCATGTGTTCCCTTTGAGTTTCAGTCTTGCAGGGGGGTTTGTCCTAAAGGGACTTAACTGTTTGTTTTGATGACTACACAGCGAACAACTTTGCATGTTCTTGTAGTAGCCGATCAGACTGATCAGGCTATAAATCTTTGCAGGAGCAGAAAGCCTCATTTTCCCTCTCACAGAGCAGCTGGTTGGCTTGAACCACCAACCTTGTAGTCACAGTCTAATGCTTATCAGTGTATCTTAGCTTCACAACAGGACCAAGGGCTGGGCCATCCATGAGCTTTTTAATCTGCCTCTGTGTATGATGCAGAGATGATTCTAAGTCATTACTACTGGAACAAACCAAATGAGCTGTCCTCCTCTCAGGCTCAAAACCTTCCACAACTAACACACCTTGGTAATACCTGAGCAGCTGGAATGCTGGGTACTCCCTACACCCAGGATGAGCAGGGAACATGAGACTCAGCATAGAAATGGTGTAGATGGAGCTACCATCAGATCAATAGCAGCTACGTTCTCTGCACCACCCCAAAGATGTAGAGCTATGACATTTCCATCTCGGGCTCAATCTCAGGGCCCAGAAGGCAATAAACCCAACACTAACGATGAACATCTTTGTGGGCTTGTTACAAGTGTTCATTCATTTAATCTTTGGCATGTTTCTATTATTGTTGTTGTTGTTAGGTGTCCTTTTGTCGGTTGCGACAAATAGCGACCCTATGCACAACAGAATGAAACTCGCAGTTGTTATGTGTGAGCCCCTTGTTGCTGTCACTGTGTCAATCTATCTCACTGGGGTCTTCCACTTTTTCGATGACCCTCCACTTTATCAAGCACAATGTCTTCTAGGACCGGTCCCTCCGGATAACATGTCCAACGTATATGAGATGAAGTCTCGCCACCCTCACTTCTAACTAGCTACAGATACTTAATATACATGGAAACTGAGGCTCAGGTTAAGTTCATAGGGCCAAGAAGTGGAAAACCTAGGAGATAACACCAAGTTGGTTAATTCGGAAGCCCCTGTTCTGAAACACCGTACCATCTGTTGAACCAACACTTTGGTAAACATAGTATTCCCTTCCTCTTTCTCCTACCTTCTCCAGCCATTGAGTCTTAAAGCTCACCAGCCACTCCTTGGAAACCTTATATAAGGTCACTAAGAGTCAGAACTGACTTGACAGCACTTAACAACAACATGTGTGTGTGTATTAAATAGCTATATTTAATTCTACTTACTTGGGTTTTGGTACAACACTACTGAAAATCTTCATTGAGAGATGTTATATAAAGCGTTAAGGTCATTCACTCGATCACTGCTATTGCTCTTCCATCTTCTGAGTACTCTTCTCACCCTGCCTTAGGACCATGGCCCTCTTGGAGTTTTGCAGAACAGAAATTAGGGGGAAGCAGCTTTGTTTTGTGTATAAAGTGATGTGTAGTGTGAAGTTCTGTGCTCCGGATCCTCCTGGTCTGTGGGCATCCACATCTTGTGAGCCTCTCACCTATAGGAAACCTCATTTTAGCATTTTCCTGCTCCAACACTACTCTTCTGGAACAGCATCGGGTAGGCTGCCCTGTCTTGCAGCCCTGCCACTGTGAAGGGCATGCACAACAAGGAGCCACAATGCCAGCAAGTGACTCAGCATCCTGTTTTTAATGTTTGGACACCAATCGCTGGTGCTGATTTCACCTCTGAAAAACCACAATACCTGCTAACTGGTGGTATGGACCAGCAGCCAAGTCACCGTCACAGGTGGGTCTCCTTTTGTACACCCAGATGTATCCACTGGGAGGAATTCTTTATAGGAACTGACCTGACTGCATTTTAAGGACACTGTGAATCAACAACGAACCCTGTTTCTGTTTTTGCTTAGGCCACTGGGGAGCTCAAAGTCAGACCTGTAGCCAAGCTCTGGTAACTGAGCTAACATTATGCCATGCATTCCGAATACTTCCTCTAACTTTCCTGTGCTATCTCCATGCCCTAATTTTCTAATTTAAAGTTTTATTATTCTCCATAAAATTTATAAGGTATCTCAAATCCCTTTCAGAATGTGGCAGGATAGACAAAAACATACACATCAGTTCCTGGAGGGTAAGGATTTCTTACTCAGAGTGTAATCCCCAGCACTAGCACAGAACCCATCACATGCACATTTAGCTGAAATGATGAAGGTAGTCCTTACTACCTCTGTTACCAGGTGGCTTTACAACAATACTTCTCCACCCACCCTGCATGGGGGTACGGGAGTTCTTAGGGCAAAGCGAGCAGGTTCCAATGGGAGTCATACTGCTGCTATGGGCAGCTGATGGTTCAGCAGGCCTTATCCCTGAGTGTCCACCTGCAGACAGGACCGCTCCCCAACGTCCACCTGCAAGAACCACGGCACAGGACAGGTGGGCCTGGGCACTTGGGAAGTGACAAGTAGTTTCTGGAGACAGCATCCAACAAGGCCCTCTCTAGACCACAACAGCAGTGTCCCACTGCAGTGAATTCTGACTGGGCCCAGACCTGAGAAAACACGCTTTGTGAAATCTTGGCAAGAATGAGCCTAGCCTCGACTGGGCTTCACTTCTGCGGGTGTGGGATGACCTGCAGCAAGGGGA